ACGCGCAGCTCGCTGCAATCGCAGTGTTTGAACCAAGTGCTGAAGGCTGAGCGTCCAGACATTGATGAGAAACGTTCCGATCTGCTGAAGCTCCAAGGCGAGTTCCGTCTGCGTCTGCGTCAGTTGGAGAAGAGTCTGTTGCAAGCACTGAACGATGCCAAGGGCAAGATTCTGGATGACGATTCGGTCATCACAACTTTGGAGACACTCAAAAAGGAGGCATACGACATCAACCAGAAGGTGGATGAGACAGACAAGGTGATAGCCGAGATTGAGACGGTGTCGCAGCAGTATCTGCCGCTCTCTGTGGCGTGCAGCAACATGTACTTCACGATGGACAGCTTGAACCAGGTCCACTTCCTCTACCAGTACTCGCTCAAGATGTTCCTTGACATATTCTCCACTGTGCTATACAACAATCCACGTCTCGAAGGTCGCACCGATCACTCGGAACGGTTGGGCATCGTGACCAGGGATCTGTTCCAGGTGTGCTATGAGCGTGTTGCACGTGGCATGCTGCACAACGATCGCCTCACCTTTGCGCTGCTCATGTGCAAGATCCATCTGAAGGGCACTGGAGAATCTAATCTCGACGCAGAGTTCAACTTCTTCCTACGCAGCCGTGAGGGCCTATTGACTAATCCAACACATGTTGAGGGATTGAGTAGCGAGCAGATCGAGGGCGTTAATCGCTTGGCTTCCCGTTTGCCCATCTTCCGCAAGCTGGTAGAAAAGGTGCGCTCCATGCCTGAACTTGGCGCCTGGTTGCAGCAGAGCTCACCGGAGCAGTGCGTGCCCCAGCTGTGGGACGAATCGAAGGCACTGAGCGCCATTGCCAGCTCCGTGCATCAGCTGTTGCTCATTCAGGCCTTCCGACCGGATCGCGTTATTGCCGCTGCCCACAATGTGGTCAACACAGTGCTGGGCGTCGACTATATGCCAAATGCTGAGCAGGAACTGGACTTTGCGGCCGTGGTGGACAAGCAGTTGAACTGCAATACGCCAGCTTTGCTATGCTCTGTGCCCGGTTTCGATGCATCGGGTCGTGTGGATGATTTGGCTGCCGAACAGAACAAACAAATCTCGAGCATTGCCATCGGTTCGGCCGAGGGCTTCAACCAGGCTGAGCGTGCCATCAACATGGCCTGCAAGACAGGTCGCTGGGTGCTGCTTAAGAACGTACACCTGGCGCCACAATGGTTGGTACAGTTGGAGAAGAAGATGCACTCGCTGCAGCCACACTCCGGCTTCCGCCTCTTCCTCACCATGGAAATTAATCCCAAGGTGCCAGTTAATCTTCTACGCGCCGGTCGCATCTTCGTCTTTGAACCACCGCCAGGCATTCGCGCCAATCTGTTGCGCACTTTCTCGACGGTGCCCGCGGCCCGCATGATGAAGACGCCCAGTGAGCGTGCTCGACTCTATTTCTTGCTGGCCTGGTTCCATGCCATCGTTCAGGAACGATTGCGTTATGTGCCTCTCGGCTGGGCCAAGAAGTACGAGTTCAATGAGTCCGACTTGCGAGTGGCTTGCGATACGTTGGATACGTGGATCGACACCACGGCCATGGGACGTACCAATTTGCCACCAGAGAAGGTGCCATGGGATGCACTGGTCACTCTGCTCTCCCAGTCCATCTACGGAGGCAAGATTGACAACGATTTCGATCAGCGTCTGCTCACGTCTTTCCTGAAGAAACTCTTTACGGCACGCAGTTTCGAGGCTGACTTCGCATTGGTTGCCAATGTGGACGGCGCCTCGGGTGGACTGCGACACATTACCATGCCGGATGGAACTCGCCGTGATCACTTCCTGAAGTGGATCGAGAATCTAACCGATCGCCAGACACCTTCCTGGCTGGGTCTGCCCAACAATGCCGAAAAGGTGCTGCTTACCACTAGAGGCACAGATCTGGTGAGCAAGCTGCTCAAGATGCAGCAGCTGGAGGATGACGATGAGTTGGCCTACAGCGTTGAGGAGCAGTCGGAGCAATCTGCACTGGCCGTGGCACGTAGCGAGGATGGCCGCCCGTCCTGGATGAAGACGCTACACAACTCGGCCACCGCCTGGCTGGAGCTTCTGCCGAAGAGTCTGCAAGTACTCAAGCGCACCGTGGAGAACATTAAGGATCCGCTATATCGCTACTTCGAGCGCGAGGTGACCAGCGGTGCTCGTCTTCTCCAGACGGTCATCTCCGATCTACAGGATGTCGTGTTGATCTGCCAGGGTGAGAAGAAGCAAACGAATCACCATCGCTCCATGTTGTCCGAATTGGTGCGTGGCATTATACCCAAGGGCTGGAAGCGTTACACAGTGCCCATGGGCTGCACCGTCATCCAGTGGATCACGGACTTCAGCATGCGTGTGCAGCAACTGCAGAAGGTATCACAGCTCGTCTCGCAGGCTGGTGCCAAGGAGCTGCAGGGCTTCCCCGTATGGCTGGGCGGTCTGCTCAACCCGGAAGCTTACATCACGGCCACCAGGCAGTGTGTGGCTCAAGCCAACAGCTGGTCGCTGGAGGAGCTCGCTCTGGATGTGACCATTACCGATGCGGGTCTGAAGACCGACCAGAAGGACAGTAGCTTTGGTGTCACCGGACTCAAGCTGCAAGGCGCCCAGTGCAAGAACAACGAATTGCTACTCGCCTCGACAATTATGATGGATTTGCCCTTAACTATACTGAAGTGGATCAAGTGAGTATCCCCACAAAATCTTGAATTTATTTATGCTTGATTAATTGTTTCGCTTTGCAGAATCTCGTCGGAGCCGCGGGTAAGCAAACTAACATTGCCCGTTTACTTGAACTCCACTCGTACGGAGCTGCTCTTCACGGTGGATTTGGCTGTGGCCGCTGGCCAGGATTCGCACAGCTTCTATGAGCGTGGCGTGGCCGTGTTGACCTCTACGGCTTTGAATTAATATCAATAACCATATAAAATATTGTATACGTTAATCATATAATCCCTAGACAGTTTTGAAAACCAAATCCCTTATTTCCAATCAACAATTTTAAATATATATTCACATAACTAACAACCCCAACAAATAGAGCAATCTTGGCCTGAAATTCAAAAAAGGAAGCGAATATGTTGAGCAAATTCGGGCAACTCCTACAAGGGGCGACTATTAGACATTCGCAGTACCGACGATTCTATGGCCAGCCCGTCGTCCAGCGCGACAGTGTGACGGACACGACGCCTACTTCTCTGGTCCTTGAAGGTGAGGCGCGTCGATTCATTCACGATTGCCTGCGACGGGTGGGCGTGCCTTTCGAGAAGCTGCGCTGCATCAGCGACATCATGCTCGCGGCGGACTACAGAGGTATCCACGGCATGGGCATCGGTCGGCTGGAGATGTATCTGAAGGATCTGCAACATGGCACTGTAGACATAACGGCCGAGCCGGAGATTATCAGTCAGACGTCGGTAACTGCCCATGTGGATGGCCACGGCGCCATGGGCGTCTTTGTGGGCAACTATTGCATGGATTTGGCCATAGACAAGGCGCAGAAGTCGGGCATTGGTTTTGTGGTGGCCAAAAGATCCCATGACATCGGCATGGCCTCCTGGTATGCATTCCGCGCCATGGCTAGGGGCTGCATCGGGCTGGTGCTCTCGAATACCCCGGCCATGATGGTGGCTCCGGGGGGTCAGGACGCTAGCATTGGAGCCAATTGCTTGGCATTTGGCGCAGACGGCAAAGACTCGCATTTTATGCTCGATATGGCAGCCAGTACGAAGAGCATGGGCGCCGTGGAGTGGGCGTTTATAAATGATGACCGTATACCGAGTAGCTGGGCAATGGATGAGAGCGGCCATCCCACCATCTTTCCCTGCTTGGCGCTCCGGGCCAACCGACTCAATCCTGCGGGCGGACACAATGGCTATTGCCTGGCCACCATGATTGATGTGCTCTGCGGAGTTATGTCTGGTGCGAACTATGCGACGCGCGTTGTTTCCATGGAAGCGGAGCAGGGGAAGGGGCCGACCTCAAATTTAGGTCTTGTCATGCTCGCCTTGGATCCGTGCGTGTTTGTGCCGGACTTTGAGGAGCGATTGGATGATTTTAAGAAGCGAATCGAGAATAGCATTCCTTTTGATACATCGAAGCCTGTCAGGCTGGCTGGCGAGCTGGAGAAGGCCCACATGCTGCGCGTGGACGACCTGGGTGCGCTGTCCTTTCCGAACATCATGCTGGCCAAATTCAAACGCCTTGCGGATTTCCTTTGCGTGCCGTCGTTGCAGTTGGCTTTCGCGTCCAATAAGTCAAATTATCTTCGTGCGTAGATAGATAGCAAATGTGAAATTCCAAATATCCAGCAGTTAATTTATATAAAATTGTAAAGATCTATGCTGCCGCGAGATGGCGCTTGGTATGATAAACTGTGCTGCAGCCAGATGGCGCTGAGTTTGTTTCTCGGAGTGGACGTAGGAGAGCGCTGCACAGTCAAAGCAAACGACGCTAGGTAGCGCTTAAACGAATTCGCTTTAATTCTAGTGCGCCATCTCAGGAGAAATTTTCTTTCATTTAAGGATAATAGTGGGAGTAGATAATACGAGTGACAGTTTATAAAGGGATAATGAATAGTGGGAACAAATAAAATATTACTGAAATACTAGGAACAGGTTGTAATTGCGCTAAGGTGCTTGTAGAGGGCGCTGTCAGCTGAGAGCCAAATGAGTTTATTCAGCTTTGATGAGCTAACGTTATAGATCCCAAGCATTTTAATTTTCTATACTTTGTCAAGTTGAACGAGTTGAGAATACCCTTTGAGAGAAATACTGAACGAATTTGGTATATAAGATATGGAAATATGCTTAAAATGTATTTTGATTCATCTCTATCTCAAGGAGTAAAACTTCTCTGACAGAACGACCTTTAAAGCTAAAGCCAATAGATATAATGATTCATTTAATAGTTATATTAATAACAGTAGCTCTCTAGTTTATAGCATAAGAAGTGTATATAAACAACAGTTGCTTCAGATCGTCGGCTCAGCTGGGCTCCCATGTGGCTTTCTGAACTACTTAAGGTAATTGCTGGATGCAAATGTGCAAATTTTCACAAATTACGTGAATTATGCAGCCGTTGAAGGGGTATAAATAGGCTTCGACTGCTCGCGGGGCACTTCATTGTGGCTGCCATGTCGTCGTCTTCACTCAATCGGATACTCGCCTGCCTCTTGCTACTGCTGCTGCTGCTGCTGCTGGTTCTGGACTGTTCGCTAGCTCATTCGCAGCAATCGAAGGATGCCCAGAGCCTGGAGGAGTTCCGCCAGAGGTATCTCATGCCCCTGCTCTCAGCTGGCACTCGAAACTGCACGCTGAATGCCTGCGAGACGCTGAGGATCATGTCGCAGCTGCTGCTGCTCATCAAGGCGTTGCCAAATGACACTATGAACTTCTTCATGGCCGCCAGTCCGCAGACTGCCAGAAGCAGGTCGGGAGAGCAGGGCAGAGACTCATTGGCGAACGGAGATGTGACCTCGATCTTCAATCTCTCGGAGTTCGATAAGCGCGTCAGGCAGATCGAGAGCCGACTGCGCTCCGTGGAGCAGCCTATCTGGCACTTGGCCAGCGGCAGCGAGCTGGAGTGGAACCACTGCACATCTGGGGTGTGCCGCTGCAATCCGGACACCAAGAGCTTCACCTGCTGGAACACGAACCTCAAGACGGTGCCCGTCAGCCAGGTCATACCCATGAACATGGTGGCCATCGATCTGTCCCGCAATTCACTCTCCACCCTGCACAAGGATACCTTTCGTGGCTTGACACTGCTCAAGCAGCTGGACATATCCAACAACGTGCTCGACTTTCTGCCATTCGATCTCTTCCAGGACTTGGATAGCTTATTACAGCTGTGAGTAAGCGCCAACTCTATTAATCTCTATCTAAGTTTTCTCTTCCCCTTGCCTGCAGTCGCATCCAGAACAATAAACTGGAGGACATTGATCCGCGAACTTTCTGGAAGCTGCGCAATTTGAATCTGTTGGATTTGAATAAGAATGAGATTAGTTTTCTGCCCGAGTCCCTGTTCTATCACGCCCAGCGGCTAACTGTCATCAATCTGTGCGACAATCAGATCAAGAACTTTCCGCCCAATCTGCTCCGGGATCAGCTGATGCTCGAGGAACTGGACATGTCGCGCAACAGAATCGAGGAGCTCGTCTCGGGCAGCATGCGGTATCAAACCAAGCTGAAGGCCTTGGACTTTGGCTTGAATCAGATTGGTGAGGCATTAAATCGAATTCGTTTTGGCTAATCGATTGAATAATACTTTCCGTTTGCAGCCAAGATTGACGACGACTTCTTTGAGGGTCTGACGAGTCTGCGCACCCTTATGCTGCACAACAATCGCATCACATCAATCTCGGGCAACATATTCAACAATCTGGTGAATCTGGTGACACTCGACTTGACCATGAATCGCATTAGTCACGTAAGTTTCCATTTGATTGAGTTTTAGTGGAACTCTATTTGCATAATGTCATTTCCTTGCAGATTGATGGCCATGCCTTTGCGGAGCTGAAGAATCTAAACGAGCTATTCCTCGGCCAGAACTCCATGTCCAGCATCCCTTCGGGCCTGTTTCTGCAGGTGAGCGCCCTCACTCGGCTGACGCTTTTCTCGAATAACCTGACCACGCTGGAGGCCAACGACTTTAAAGGCCTGACCAGCCTGAAAATACTGATGCTGAATAACAATGTACTGAAGCACTTCGATGCCCGGGCATTCGAGCCGCTCACCCAACTGGAGAAACTGTGAGTTTATTGCCCTTCAATTAACCACTTTGGCTCATTGGATGTCCTCCTTTGCTCGCCTTTCCTCCCCAGTCGCATCGACTCCAATAAGCTAATGTATTTGCCGACCGGCGCTCTGCACGGACTCGACAAACTGGTGGCCGTTAAGCTGGACAAGAACCCCTGGCACTGCGACTGTCGCGCCTTGTACTTGGCCCGTTGGATACGCGAGTTCGTCGTGAAGCTGTGGGATGGCCAGCAGCCCATGTGTCGGGGACCGGGCGACCTAGGCGGCCACGAGGTGGGCCTGCTGCGCTACGACGATCTCTGCGACGGGCAGTGGGCGAGCATGTTGTCGCTGTCGCCGCGTCTTCCGGTGCGCACCCATCGCATTTCCACACCGATGAACTATACCGACTATTTCAATTTGTACTTGAAGCATATCTATAACTCCACCACGGACGAGCAGCTCAAGGAGGCCGAGATAACCAGTGTGGCCATCAAGAAGGTTCACGTCGATTAATGAGAGGGATGAGCTGCCAGAGTAAAGCAAGTCTTAGTCTTTCTATGTGCCTAGAGCTTGATGCTATTTGAGAACTTTTTAGAGTCTTGATAGAGCTCTCCCATTTTTCTTGTCTATCAATCTATTGTACTGCTCATTTATTTATCGGTCTGATTGCTGGATTCTCAACAATAGCTCAGTTTTGAGAGTTTACCTTATCAATATGTTTGTTAGTTGAAGATCCTAGCTGAAAAACTATTAAAGCTATTAAAGCTAATTATTATAATTTACTTTGCTCTCATTGCTCAACATCCAAACACATACATATATCAGATATCATGACATTCTTTGGAATTCACATACTCTGCATCATCATGAACGAACTTCATCATCTTCATCATACCATCATCAATGTAATTATACCGAAGCCACCTGCAAGCAATCTGCTGGGACCTGAGTAAGTATTGATGAATCCTTTATATATTATATAAGAATATATTTTTAAGGCTTCGCTTCTCAAGTTAATCTCATATATATACAATATTAGTCAACCACTTATTTAAACATACTTACCTATAGGTGGTCGTTCCAGACATAACTGTTACCTGTTTCCATTAGCCATTTCCCTGCTGTCTCTTAAATATTATGGCCATAATTGTTGGCCCTGTCGGCTGGCAATTTCTGCCTTTGCCTCTGCCTCTGCCGCTGCCACTGCCCGTTTTCTATTAGTTCTCCGCCACATGGGCAAATACCTTTATGGATAGCTGACTGTGCTTCAAAGCAACTGCACTCCGTGTGATAGCCTTACTCACTCTACTCCTCTCTTTCTCTCACAATCTGCATATCCCACCCAACGTTTCGCTCTCACAAATTACGACCATGTCTCGCGTTTCGGTTTTTGCCTATGTGTCTACGTCTAGGACAAGCTTTTTACCTAACCAATTTATTGCTTCCGTTGTAGTCTCCCTGCTCCTCACTCCTCACTCCTCACTCCCCAGTCCCCAGTCCCCACACCCAACTCCCTATCTCAATCCCTTCGATAGCACTATTCCTTGGCTCACCTAGTCGTGGTAGTTTTTGCTGTTGTCCTTGCAATTTCCATGTGTTGACATTGCCCACGCTCTTCATTTTCCATTTTCCCCCATTCACTTTCCCCACTTTTTGTCGCTGACCCTTTTTGCCCCGCTCTGCGCTCGCCTTCTCTCTGCCTATCTGCTGGCTGCTGGCTGCTTCCTGTTGCCTACCGACTGCCGTCTACAGCTAGGCTCCTGCCTTCATTTCCGTCCCTTGCCCGTTTTGCGTGGGCGTGGCAGTGGGCGGCGACTGACTCGTATGCAGACAACAAATGCATTTTATGCGAAATTTGCAAGGCAAATATTAAAAATTGAATGCCGACATTGTTGTTGTTGCTGCTGCTAATGTTGTTGTTGTAATACTCTGTAGGTGAATTCATGGAGGGTATATTGGTTGTGTGTGTATTTAGATGTAATTAATAGTATCTTCCAGTTAGTCATTTATCAGGGGACTATAATTTCCAGTTCTTGTTGCTTATATCTTATTTGCAGTCGAGTCATTCACAATCTTACTATAATCCAAACGGTACAGAGTATCTGCAAGTCCGCTACCCGCCATTTGTCTCACTATAATTCACTGCTGTTGTTGTTTTTGTTTATGCGCTGTCTTGTTTGAGCCTGGGGCGCTGATTGCCTTAAAAGTGTCTCAGCTTTGTGTCCGCAGGGTGAGTGGCAGGGCGTGGCAGGGGGAGCACTGTATAAAGGAGAGCTGCGTAAACTGTCAACCCTTTTCCTGCATGGGTAGCGAGCTCCGTGCATAATATACCATATACAATATACGATATGTAATCATATTTTTTTTCTCTTACGCATTGAAGGCGTATGCTAGAGGGGACGGGGTATGCGGGGTGGCTGCGCAGGGGTTGAGTGTGAATCTTTGCTATCAGACGCATCTGTCTCAGCGTGCGCCTTATCGTTGTTTTGCTTAAAGCGGAAGTAAAAGGATTTGAATTGCCCTCTGAGCCGGTTAACAAAACAAACCCCCTTTTGCCAGCCGCACCGGCACGGTCCCCCATAAGGTCTAATGTATGTAAATTTGTTGAAGTTGAAAATCCTTTGGTTGGGCAAACACTTTATAACGGCTCTTAACAAAAAGTTTATGAACCCAAGATTCGTGTTGAAAAGCTGCGTCTTGGCTTAGTCGAGTCACAAACCCAAGTGTGTGTTGCAGCTGCCGCTGCTTGACTGAATGGCGCTGCTGAGCAGAGCTGTCGGCACACTCGAGTTCCACTCAGCCTGTGTCACTCGAGTTACTCTTGAGCTTTTTCGTAGTGCTCAAGCGCGCGCTTAAGTCAGCAGCTTCGCTCTGCGGTCGGCGTTCGGCTGCTCTCGTCGGCGCTCCAGAGCCGAAGCCATTGACACAGTGAACTCGGCAATGGTCACGATGATGGACGTCGGCGTTGACGTTGGCGTCGCTGAGAGCTACGTTTTGGCAGCAGCTGCTCATGTTGTTGTTGTTGTTGTTATTGTTGATGCCGAATTTTGGTCAAAATTTGTGATTTATTTGAAAATTTGAAATAATTTGGTTTTTATTGTGCAGCAGCAGCAGCAGCACGCAAATTAATGCAAATTTCATGCAGCTCTCACAGTAACAGCAGCAGCAGTAGCCACAGCCGCCGCCACAAGACACCCAAAGGAGCAGTTGCTAAAAGTCCTTTAACGTTGCCCAATGCCCAATGCCTGACCTAAGGCAATGCCAGTCCAGGCCAGGCCAGACCAGGGCAGGCACAAAATTTGACTAAGGCAAATTCACTTAGACGTCGCCCCGACGCTGTTGGCCTTTCGCTCGGCGTTCGCATCTCAACTTTTTGGTTTGCTGTACACTCGGAGAAAATCAGCATGAGAATGTGAAAAGATCGCGATATCTGGAGTGCAAAGTTCTAGTTATATCTGTCAATTGTTTTCGATTCGTGAACTATTTGAGTATTTATTTCGTTCAATATTTACTCTCGCTTATCACATTTGGTTGAACACAGAGTTCAATGAGTAGCTCTAAGTGTGAACTTTTCTGGTGAACCTTTGCTGATCTATTTTTATTTGAATTAATTTAGGCAAATGCTAATTTTGTTAGCCAATTCAAAGTTCAGGAATAGCATATATTAAAACATAAATAAAAATGAAATATATATATACTTATATGGGTGTGTAAGTGGGTGTCTATACACTCGGAGAAAATATGCTTGAAATACGAGTACATCAATTTATATAAATTTATAATTATATGAAAATCGTATTACTACTATTACAATTTTCATGTATGTATATGTATATGTATGTATGTATATGCTTGCATATAAATCATATCTCAGGCATATTTTCTCCAAGTGTATATATAAACACCCAAACACACACACATACTTACATGCAAGTATGCATATATATTTAGCACATGCTGCCAAAGGAACCATATTATGTATGTGTGTGTGTTTGTGTGTGTTGTTTGTGTGTGTTTGGCTGCCACTTTGGAGCTGCTACAACGCATAAAAATGCGAGTGTTAGCTTGTCCCTGTGAATATTTGTAAGCGACTGCGCTACTGGTTGTGTGTGTGTGTGTGTGTGCGTGTGTATGTTTGCGTGTGTGCAGTTGGTTTTTGTGGCCACGCGTCCATTCAGTTGCCGCAGCTCTCTCTGTCCCTCTCCCACATCTACTGCTCTGCTCCAGCGCCAGCTCCAGCTTCAGATTGTCTGCTGGCTGCTCGCTGGCTGACTAGCTGGCAAACGTGGCGTATACTTAATTCGGTTTATGCTCGAACGTGTCGCACATTATTCTTATGAGGCGGCTCTGTCGACTGCTGCTACGATGTGTGAAATATGCTGGATGTGTGTGCGCAGCAATACTGATTAGACACACACACACACACACACACACACACACACACAGATACACACACACTCTCGCACTCGCACTCGTAGAGCGGCTCAGTTGACAGAAAAACAATTAAAATTTGGCTGCAATTTGTTTGATTTTTCACAACAGCGAAATGAAAAAATGCAAATGATGAATATAAAATTGAAAATGAAAATGCAAATGGAAATCTAAATGGAAATGAAAATGAAAAAAATGCAAAGTCTGCCCATTGACCTTATTGGGCACTCAGACGGCAACGGGAGCAAAAAGTGGACACAAAACAGCTAGGGCTAAGAGCAACAAACAATAAAAAGGAATATATATTTATGTATATATACGTATAGAACTTGTCAAGTCTTTTTATTGTTATTATACATTTTTGAGTGCCTGACAAATTTTATATTGAAATGACATTCGATGCGGTGGCTTTTCACTGGAAATAATACGCAAGTATTCATTAGGTTTACAATTTTATTTTTACGCATTTTCCGCTCCATCAGTGAAAAGAATTGGAGTCAATTGTGATTGAATGGGTAGAAGCTGATTGGCTTGATTGGTATATACTGAAGTAAGTCATTCAATCAAAAGAATGTATAACAATCGTTGCAATTTCATAGTCTTAGATTGAGCTGAGGTGGAAGCTAAGAGTTAATGGAGCACAGATTGACTTTATGCATAGCTGGAGTCTATGCATTGCTTAGGATATGTTCAGATCAACCAGTCATTAAAGTTGTCTTTCAATCATCTTTCAATTTTTCTTTTGATTGAAGCAGCACTCAGTCAATTATTCAATTACGATTGATTTATAGTTATAGCTGAGTGTAACATCATTTAAGTAGTTCTATCAAATATCTTCCACTCTATCATCGGTAATTCCCTTTAGCTGTACTGATGTAGAGGTCCACAGTCGAATCAGTCAAGCATCAGTCTCTCAGTTACTGAGTCATTCACTTATATATAAATATATCATGCGAAATGTGAGTGTGTATCCACTCGTTTAGTTTAATCGAATCCTTAGTCCAGCTCTTGGCTTTTGGCTAACCTAGCTGGGCATGAGCTGCTCCATTGTTGGGGCCATTTGGAGCAAGCCGCATTTGTGGCTTTCATAATTCGAGCGACCCATTTCGCGTGAAAACT